TCCCTCAGGGGTGGGATAACCTCGGCCAAGTGGTTTTAGGGTCCCTCAGGGGTGGGATAACCCTTGGGCAGCAGTTGAATCCCCCTCCAGGGTAACCTTCCCCCTCCCTCCGTTCTGCCCAGCCCGAGGGTCCAGCAGCCCCCTCTTCCAGTTGACAACATCCACGTTTCTCATCCCTCCGGTGGCTTTTGGAAGCGGTTCCCTGGGCTGGTTTTCCGAAGGGTTCGCAGAGTCTGTGGCCACCGGCAGATTCCTGGGGATACCTTCAAACCACATTTACCTGCCCAAATCTCAGGTGTGAGTGTCAAAACTCCGGCACAGGCACATGTTCCCCTCGGGAAGGTGAAATCCGGGATATCCCTGGACTGCTGAAATGCCTGAAAACACGGAATTGACTTTTATTGATGATTTTCAGGAAATAAGAATGGTGGAAATATTGTGGGTTTTTTTCCCCCCAAATTCCATAAATTTAACTAAAATATTTAGTTGATTAACGATTCCCCAGGAGGCATCTGCAGAATGTTCTTCGGGTGAGTTTCCAGCTCGGTCACCAGGCAGCCGGTGCACGAAATTAAACGTTCCTGTCAGTCCTCATTAGCACAGCGACTGCCCCGAGCGTCCTTTCCGTCCTCCCCGGGCTCCACAGTCCCTGTGGCCACTGGAAAAGCACAAGGAAGGAGCTGGACATCCTTGTTCTCTTGCTCATCCCCCTCCGGTGCTCGGAAACCCGGGCCCTGCTCGTCCCAAACCCCAGGGGACACATTCTGGAGGGAAGGCACCCACCCGAGGCTCTTGGGAAGGGACCAAACGGCTCCTTCCCGGGCGGGACAGAAACGCTGACGGCCGACAAATGTTCCTTACGCGGCGCTTTTCCCCCTTGGAAAGCCAGCGGGAATTTTCCGCTTGGGAAGGAGATTCGGGGTGTGCTTGAGGGGTGTGGAGGGGGCGATTGTGAAATGAAAGCCTCATCCCAGCCGGGTTTCACCAAAATCCTGCCCGGCGTGGGGCGTCAGGAGAAAAAACCCCGAGTCAGGCGACGCGCGGAGTCGTTTGGAGCAGGGAGGGAGGTGGGAGGAGGAGGAGGGAAGAACATGACACCATCGCTGTAAAACATATTTTTTTAGATGCCGGAGAGATACGGGAGTCCACTTATCCAGGGAGAACCTGCTCCCGCCTCCCCATCCCCTTCTGCACGGCCAGGAGGATTTCTGGGTGGAGTCGCCGGTTTGGCAAAAGCCTGGAAACCGCACGGAGCTGATGGAGACAGTAAATGTGTTTCCTCTTCACGCCCAAGCCGCCCCGGCCCACCCCCAGCAGCGGATAAAAGGGAATGCCCCGAGCCGGGGAGCCAGAGAAGACTCCGAGCACTTCTCTCTGCCCTCGGCACCAGCCCAGCTCCGCCGATCTCCTCGTCCTCCGCGCCTTGGGCTCTGTGGAGCATTGGGATGTCCCGTCAGTCCGTGTGCAGGAGCTTCGGGATGGGCAGCAGGAAGGGCTTCAGCTCCTGCTCCGCCGTGGGCGGCGGGTTCGGGGGCAGCGGCGGCCGGAGCCGGATCAGCTACAGCTCCTTCTCCACGTCCAGAGGGGTCGGAGGAGGGGGACGCTGCGGGGGCTTCAGCAGCCGGAGCCTCCACAACCTGGGGGGCAGCGCCAGGATGTCCGTGGGAGGCTCCTACGGATGTAGGATCCCGGGATTCAGCGGAGGATTCGTGGGAGGATTCGGCGGAATCCCAGGAGGGGTCGTCGGAGGGATCGGCGGCTTTGTGGGGCCCGTCCGGGGCGGCCCCGGGTTCCCCGGGGGGATCCAGCCCGTGCAGGTGGATCCCACCCTGCTCCGACCCGTCCACGTGGACATCGACCCCCAGATCCAGCAGGTGAAGTGCCAGGAGAAGGAGCAGATCAAGACCCTCAACAACCAGTTCGCCTCCTTCATCGACAAGGTGAGCGGGTCTGCTTCGGGATGGGGGAATTCTGGGGGAATTCTGTGGAGAGGGGAAGGTTGTCCTCCTCGGATTGGTGTTGGGCAGGGAGAGTTTCCCTCGGGAAATGCCAAAATGTTGTGTCCGTGGAGAAACCGAGGGATATTTGTGGATCCCAAACCCTGATCCAAGTTATCCCTTGGTTTTGCCTCCGGTGCCCTCTGGGCAGCCAGGCCAAAGGGATCGGGATACACTCCCTTATCCAAGTGTTCCCTTAAGTCTGTGCTTTCTCAGGGATAAGTTTATTTCAAGGAACTTAAAATCCAGGAATGAGCTTCCAAGTAAATCCCGGCCATTCCTCATTTCAGCTCAAGTGCAGATGAGTTCCCTTTAAATTGTCTGAATGGGAGAATGTTGGGTATGAACGTGCTTTTTTTTAAAAATCTATGACTTATTTAGGGAATAAATTCCATAAATTGGAATTTGGAACTGGAATTAGGAAATTGGAGTTGACTGATGAGAGGAATGTTCTCGGATATGGAGACCAATGGGATTTCGTTCACTGGGAGGTCGAAAATGATCTGAGGCTCCTAAAAAATAACGTGGGGCAACGTTCCCAGTTGGAAATGAAAATAGTTTGTAAAATTGGAATGGAATTGTTCCAATAGGTAAAAAAAAATAATAATATTAATTGTAGAAAAAGAGAGTGGAAACGTAGGAGGAGAAAAATGGGAGAATTTAAGGAAAATGGAGAAAAAAAAAAAGGAGAAAGAAAGGAGGAATTTTGCTTTTGGAAGCCATGTCCTGCTGGGGATTCGGGGAGTGATTCCCTTGCCCCTCCAGAGCTCCCAGGAGGTTTGGGCAGCGGGATGTTCCCTCGGGAATGTCTCACACACCCCTGTGAGCTCCCAGGAGGTTTGAGCTCCTCATGCACTTGAGGAGCTCGGATGCCTGAATGAGCCGCAGCTGGGGGTTCGGGGAATGACTCCCTCGGGCTCCCAAAGCGCCCAGCAGTGGGATGTCCCCTCGGGAATGTCTCACACACCCCTGTTGGGTTCAGGTCCGGTTCCTGGAGCAGCAGAACAAGGTCCTCTCCACCAAGTGGGAGCTGCTGCAGCAGCAGGGGCCGGTGGGGCCGAGGAAGAACCTGGATGTGATCTTTGAGAACTACATCCAGAACCTGAGGAGGCAGCTGGACTCCATCCTGGCGCAGCGGGG